AGTCACCAAGCAGACCATCCAGCAAGCTCACAGAACAGACAAAGCACACACACACACACACCATGTGAGAGTTGACAGGGGAGCCCAGAGCCAGGTGGACTCTTAGAAACACCCAACTGAGAAGCGTAGAAGGTTCACTGAGTGCATGCAGTGAGGAAGGCTTTCTTCCAGCGTGGCCAGCAGAGTGCCTGCCATGCAGAGGGTGGTGGGCAGACTCACTAGTATGTGCCAGTAACACAATTCCCATTTCAATAAAGTGGAGCTTAGGGCCGGTGAGACAGCTGACCAGGAGAAGGTACTTTAACGCCAAGCGTGACAATACGAGTTCAATCCCCAGTCCCACATGTAAAGAGAGAACTGAATTTCCTCTCTGTCCTCTGATTTCTGATCTCTACACACACAGTGGTAAAAATGTGTGTGCATGCACACACAAAATAATAAATGTGATAAATTGGAGCTGTTTGTAGAACACAAAAAACCTCCACAGTGGGCGACAGGTCAGGGGCAAGGCCAAGCTGTCATCTACTGCTAACCCCTGGGCCAGCCTTTCAGCATTTTGTCCTCACACCAAGATAGAAAGAAGGGGAAAGAGTCACTGAGAGTTCCATGTGACAATAGAATCCTTTTAGAAAAGGGACCCAAAGAAAGAGAACCACAGCTACCAACAGAGAGACCAGAATCCACACGATTCTCACCAATCACTTCTCAGATGTCTAGCTAGAGGGCACAGTTCACAGTCCCTCAAAACCCCCTTCCCTACGCCACCCACCACCCAGTGAAGAGGTGGGGATTCTCTCCCCAAGCTGCTTCCCAGACAACTGGGCAGGGGGAGCCCTGGAACAAGTCCAGAGGTAATGGTTGGGATGGGGTTCACGCAGTGTCCAGCAGCCTCCACATGAATCTGGAAAACCCAGATTTTCAATCAGGGAGGGACGCTGATCGCAGGCAGGTCCTGATGCAGCAGGGCAAACCCACGGGCTGTCCTGAGACCGAGAGAGGTAGGAGACTACACCAAGGGTAACGGCGCTGCAAACACAAAAGCAGGCAGCCTCAGGGTCTAGACTGCTCCAGTGACTTAAGCACTTTCCTCAGATCATTCATATACTCAGCACCACACACTCCGCCACCCCCACCCCGTGTAACTTTCAGCAACTTCAAGAAAGCGGAAGTGACAGGCACTGGTTTTAGAGTCGGTTTGAAAACCAAGACTGGCTGCTAACGGAAGGAAGGGAAGTTATAAATGAGAAAGGAAGCCATTAGAAATGAAAGTCGCTCTGCCTCTCCTCCAGCTCTAACACCAGCAGCTCTAGCTTCGCGTTCTGTTGTGTTGGTCTAAGGTTGCTGACAGTAGCTGTCCCTCTCAGGAGCCGGCCGGCCCCTGCACCTTGTCCTTCCCTCCCCGTCTTCATTGTTGCTGCAGCCACCACCGTAGCTCCAAACACTGCCTACCAAGAAGCCCATGGGCAGGTTCTTTATCTGCCAATCCTTCCAGACTTGCCCTAACCACCCCGACCCCTCCACCTTGGGAGGCAAGGGCAGACAGCCCATTGGGAGGCCCTTCGGGAGAGCCGGCACCAGGGCAGGCCCTCGGGCCAGCTGGCTGTTCTAGGAGGAAAGGAAACCGTGCTTCCAGCAGCAGACCTACTAGCTCCTTAAAAGGCCGGGTGGATCATGCCTCTACTTTTTAATGCCCTAGCCAGCTCCTGGCCAAATCTGGAAAAGGGGTTCGGGACACTTAATACCGGGGATGAAGAGACAATAACAGCAACCTAACCACCTCTGGGCAGGATCCTCAATGTGGCCTTGAGCGCACACTGCCACCCTGGCAAAGCAAGAACAGGGGGCAACCACCCACAGAAGGGACCCCTGCTGGGGCCTGGCCACATGCAACGGCGAGCTGGGACTTTCCCATGGCTTAGCAAAGCCTGGAGGCTTCTTAGTGAGAGAACAAACCGTGGCCTACCCCTCAGATCCTAGAACCACCCTCCCAGAGGAAATAGACACTCTGACCCAACCCCATAGGAGGAGTAATTAGAAAACAGAGTCTAAGGATGCTTGGCCAAGGCCTGGGGAGAAGACTTGAAAATTTATACTCGACACTCATCTCCTGGAGTGGTCACAGGGTCGAAGGGGAAAAAGGAACAGCCCACCGCATAGATGTGGAATAGCCCCTAGGAGAAAAACAGGGAAAACGAGGACTTGGGAAGTGGAGATTAGCCTGGGCTATAAAGCAAGATCCTATCTCAAAATTAAACTAAAAGTAAACCGTCAAAGACCTAAGTTCAAGTGTGCCCTGGCCTCAAACCCCCAAGCTCAAGTGATCCTCCTGCCTCAGACTCCCAAATAGCTAAGGCGGATTGTAGGAGCACAGCACCGCACCTGACCAGGGCTGGAATTTCCTCTCATCCCACCGAGTCTCGGTTCCCCATCTGAGACATATCTTACAGACGAGGTTACCCCTTCCTGGAGAACTCACACACAAATGTGCAAAGAGAAAACCTGGGTGTGGCACGTGTGTGTCCCCACTAAGCCAGTGCCGGGCACTAACTCTCGGCACTGGGGCCTCTTACCTCTCTCCTGCAGCAGCAAGTCTAATGGCAGAAGCATTCAACTGGCTGCTCGCAGGATGGGGGCTGTGCCCTCCACCTGCCCTAGCAGCTCTGAGTCTGACTACCTCCTCCTGAGGCTGTCAGGCCTCTACAGTGACACCACTTCCTCCAAGAAGCCATCCACCCGCAAGCCTCCTTCCAAAGCACCTTTTCAGTCAATGAGCGCATCCAAGCCTCGACTGTGTGGGAAAGTCAGGTCTGTCCAGGCACCTGCCACTCTCCAGAGACACCGCCTCGGATCTAACACGTTGCCAGATACAAAACCCCAAGTGTTTGTTGGGGGTTGGGGATGTAGCTCATTTGCCAAGGTGTCTGTCTAGCATCCACAAGGCCCTGAGTTAGAGTCCCAAAGGTGGACCCCACCACCACCACCACCACCACCCTAACACTTGGGAAGCAGAGGCAGGAGGATCAGAAATAAGTCACCTTTGGATGCATAGTGAGTTTGAGGCCAGATGGAGCTACATGAGACTCTGGTTCAAAATAAAAAGTAAAAGTACTTGTTGGATTAATGGAAACTGAAGCCAGAGAAAGGAAAGTAATCCCTGAAGGTCACTTGGCCGGAGATCCCAAAGTTGAAAAAAAAAACCGGGGGGGGGGGGGGGGGGTGAGGGAATGAGGTTGCTCTCCTTCAATGGAAGAAAAGATGCCACATGACCCAACAAAAGCAAACAACCAAAGAGATGGACATAATGGAAAATACACAACAGTTCACATCACATAGGAGCACAAAGTACAAGCCCTCAAGCTTTAAATAAAGCAGAGAAGCAGTGTTTCCCTGCCATCCCCTATGAGCACCAACGCCATTTGCGACTGGATAGTTATTTGTGGTGAAGCTGCCCTATATACTGGAAGAAGGCCATAGCATCCTGGGTGGGATATACACATGCTAGAAGCATACCTCCTCCTGCCTCCTGTATACTTTCTCCAAACATTGCCAAATGTCCCCTAGGACACATCACACCTACTGAGAACTACTAAGACATCGAAAATCAGATCACAAATCTAAGAGCTACTGATGGGGTGCTTGCTATGCCTTACATTCTGTGACCGGCATCTACAAACATTGCATTCGATCCCCAGAAACACCCTACAGAGAGAGCCCTCCTTTAGCCCACTTACACAAGAGAAACAGGTACAGAGAACACTTGCATAACTTTTCAAGGACTCGCCTACCACGCTGAAAGAAAGGCAAGAGTCAGAACTCGAACCCAGGTCTAACCCACAAAAGATCTTGCTGTAAATAATTTCTCATTATTCCAATCCCCAAACTAGAGGGCCAGAGTCACTGAACTTAAGAAATTGACTCAAATTAGGTAAAGGTTACCAGAAAACAAACAACATCAACAAAAAAACCACAGGAGAAGTAATTTTAAACAGCTCAAGACAACTCCAACTACATGAGTATGTGGGCAGAATATGGCAAACTCTCTCATGACCACATTGGGGATAGGAAATGCACATAGAAACAACTCCTCCTGTGTGTGTTGTTTAAACAATCGAGTCCCCACAACGTTGGCCTTGGTGCTGACAGCCTCTCCTTCAGGAAGCGAGCAACCCTGTTGTAGTTTTACTACCCTCGATCCCACTACCACGCCTGACAGGCAGTGCAGCTCCCTTTCCACAGTGAAGTTGCCTCTGTGCATTAAGAGTGATCAAGAAAAGACCCTATCCACCTTGGCCTGGTAACATAAACGTGGAACCCAGCTACGTGAGGCAACGTCCCACTGCAGAGTGTGTTCAACGCAAGTCTAAAGTCTCCGGGAGGCTTCGGCTGTACTGTAGCTCAGTGGTAAGGGTTGCGTGCCCGGCAGCAGGAGACCGGGGTTTGAGCCCCTGCACTACCCTGAGGGAGGAAAAGGGAGGGGCCACTAGCCAGGTCACACAAGGTCCTGGACAAAAGTCCTAGCCAAGGCACTGTGTGTGCCCACTGCCCTCTCAACACTAGTACACACTTCACCCCCGGGACTCCTGACTCCTCTGATGTCCCCACCTTCACGTATTTGCACGTGCTGTTTCTTCCACCTGGAAAGCTCTTCTTCCCACTCTCCATCTGTTAACTCCTCCTCAGCCTTCCTCGAGAGAAAAGCCACCCATCCGGCCGGTCTCACCAGTCTCTCCCACTCTGCCGCCACGGCACCCTAGGTTACCACCATCACAACACACAGTAATTGTGACTGTCCGACTCTGCCTTTGGCTACCTGGGTAGACAAAGTGCCAGGGCCTCCTGCCAACCACTCCCTCCAGGACCCAGCACCCAAGCAACCAGGCCCTGCCCTCGGCAGGCAGGTCTCACCTCACACCAGCAAGCCCCCCCCCCACAGTGAGTTCCACGGGCAGCTAGGGACAGCCAGGGGCAGGACAGCCACAGCCAAGGCCAAGGGAAAACCTGCTTGATCTTGCCTTCCCAAAGGCCAAGAGTCCATGAGGGCAGATGGGAGGGAAACGGGGAGCCGGAGGCTGAGGACAGAAGGGCAGGCAGGAGGAAGAAAAGAGGAAGGCGCTCAGGAGGAGGAAGACTACGACAGGGGAGTGGGCCCGGGCAGTCCCAAAGGGAGCTGAGTCAGAATGACAGGTGGAGGTGAGGTCTGTCGATCGCAGTGGGGGGGGGGTGTGGGGGGCTGCAGGAAGGAAGGAAGAGCCTAAGTAAGGGGCGTAGAGGGGACCTCGGGGGACCAGGCAGACGGGGTGGCATGCATGACAGCGAGCCCGGCGACAGGAAACACACTTGGCGACACTGACAAGTGTCTGCGCGAGTCGGGGAGTAAGAGGGAGGGCGCTGCGGGACTCGGGACCGCTGGGGGGGTGGGGAGAACTCGGGGGCGGCGGCGGGGCTCACCTGCGCGGGGGGGCGGCGGCTCCTCGCACTCGGGGCTCATCGGGGCGCCCCCGCCGCCCCGCCGCCGGCGGCTCCGGCCCAGCCGAGGGGCCGGCTCGTGAGGGGCGGGGGCGGGGGTCCCGCGCAGGCGCCCGGGGGACGGAGCTCGCGGGCCCGCGCAAGCGCCCTCGGCCGGTCACAGGGATCCCCCTGCCTCACCGCCGATCGCCGCCGACGAGTTCCGTGTGGTGGTGCGGGGCAGGCGGGGGCGGCTTCGCGGCCAAGCGGGCGCGCTCGTCCCGCGGCGCCAGGCGAGGCGAGGCGAGGCCTGCGCGGGCGCCTCCGAAGCAGCGGCGACCGGGGCAGAGCCGCCGCGGGTTACACACACACACACACACACACACACACACACACACACACAAGCGCGCGCGCGCACGGACACACAGACACAGCCGCGGGACCGGACGGGACGGGTGCAGAGCTACGCCCAGGGCCGACGCCCGCCTCCTCGCTCGGCCCCAGCGTCCCCCGGCGCAGCCGTGCAGCCCGGGGCCTCCAACGCACGGCTAGCTCCGCCACTGTCCCACAATGCCCCGAGCGCGGGAGGACCCGAGCTGCCAGGCTCCGCCCTCTCGCCGCCGCCGCTCTCGGTGCGCAGGTGCGCGGCGAGCGGGGGGGGGGAGGAGCGGGGGGAGAGGGAGGGCCCGGCGCGGCACTGCGCGTGCGCACTGGGCCCCGGCCCCGCCCACTCCGGAAGCCCGCCGCTGCCCGTGCCCGCCGATGCCAACGTTCTTCCCCTGCGCAGGCGCTGCTGCACCCAGAACCCCGGTTTCTGTGGCCGCGTTCCGAAGGCGGCTGGATGTTCTGTCTCAGGATCCCTCGCCCGGGCCGCTCGCGACCTTCGGGAATCACGCTGATGCGTTGACTCTAGCGTCCCCCACCCGGAGCGAGCTGGCTGCTTTTCTGCAGCCGATCGGCGCCGGCGCCTCCAGGCTGACTCCGGGTCCCACTTAGGCATATATATGCCCCGGCCGGGAGGAACCCCTAACGCCGCGATCCAGCCACTCTGAAGGGCCTTTTTCTAGCTCTGAGCCTCAGTTTACCCCCAACTTCCGTGCCTGCCTCCTCCCGTGCCCGTTTTAGAGGTCAGCTGTAAGGGCTTGATAAGTGCGCGTAGAAAAAGCTTACTCTTCCTTCTTGAAAGCAGCAGATCGGCACTTTGTATTTCGGGGAAGTTATGTTGAGCCATGTTTGTGTGTATTCTCTTGTCTTTAGCGGGGACCTAGTTTTTTTCCCCACCCCTTTATTCTCAAATGGCTTTAAAGGACCTGTTCCACGGATTAAAACCTGTCAGTAATTTTTTTTTTTTTTTTTTTTTGGTCTTGTCTCTTCTGGGCTATGTGCTTTCTATTTGTTGCTGACGGTGTTTGTTTGATCCTTGTGGTTCTGTGTAACAGACGGTCAGGGCGCCTGCACATAAGAAAGTTGTTAACACTTAGTCCTGCTCCCATGTCTCCTTTTCAGTCTGGAACCCTAGCCCATTGGACAGTGTTACCCGTACTCAGAGTGGGTCTCCTCCCAACTAAACCTTTCTGGAAACAGTCTCATAGGCACACTGGAGATGTGTTTCCATGGTGATTCTAAATCCAGCCAACTTGACAGTGAAGACTAACCTTCACATAAACTTCCTTGAGGTCTGGTAGCTGGTTCCATGGGTAAAGGTGCTAATTGTGCAAGCCTCTTGATCTGACAACTTAGAGCTGATTGCCAGTACCCATGTGGTAGAAGGGTTCTCTGACCCCCATCCTTACACACTCAGACAAACCTGTTTTTTAATTATGTACTGAAAAGGACAGGATGGTCCCAACACAACAAAGGCAGGCAGATAAAAGGAGACAACAGTTCTGAGGACAGGAGCAACACTTTTATTACTCCTTTAGTGACACCCTTCCCCAAGTCCGCTAAGCTCAGCCCCTCCTACCTTCCATAAGAACTTTCCAAAAAACACAGCAAGGCAATACCGGGCAGGGGACAGGAGAAATGCTTTTATTGGAAGAGCAGTGTGGACACGAGAAGGAACGGACAGAAAGCAAGGGAGGGGATCCAAAGGGCCAGCACCGTTCTCGGCGACCCCTCCAGGGGGCTGCCCAGAGATGGGCTGGCAGCCCAGGCCCAGGCCTGAACACGCCTGGCAATCCCTTGGGAGAGGGCGCCTGGGAAGGAGGGAGGCAGGAGGCCTGGGTTCCCACGGAGAATGCAAGAAGCCACCTGATCTCACCGATCCATGCTGTCGTCCGTAGGGCTGGAGAAACATGTCTGTAACAGCTTTTCACAGAACTCCAGCTCCTCCTGGATCAGGAAAGAAATCCTGAGCACGGGCAGACCTGCCCACTCCAGTAGCCACTGGGCTTCCCTAGTGACCACTGCTCAGATCGTGCTCACTTGCCCTCCCTTGGAGAGAGAGCCTGGGGCCTCCCAAACTGGTCTGTCCTGGAACCAGCCCTGTGACTTTCATATATCCACCCCAGGTCAAAGTGCCGATCACCAAGCCTGAGAATCTGAGTTCAATCCCCAAAACCCATGTTGTCCTGTGACCTCCACCTGTGCACCATAGCACACACATGTCCCCACACATAATAAATAGATGAGGGGCTTGGAGGTTAGGAGCACCGGCTGCTCTTCCAGAGGATCTGGGCTCAATCCTCAGCACCCACATGGCAGCTCACAACTGTCTATAATCCTAGTTCCAGGGGATCCTCACGTGTAGGCAAAACACCAACTTATATAAAAATAATTTTCAAAAATAATAGATGAATGTAGCCTGGCGGTGGTGGTGCATACTTTTAATCCCAGTGCTTGGGAGGCAGAGGTAGGTGGATCTCTGTGAGTTTAAGGCCAGCCTGATCTACAAAAGCGAGTTCCAAAATGGCCAGGATTGTTACATAGAGAAACCCTGTCTCGAAAAACCAAAAGATAATGGATGAATGTAAACATTTTTTTGTTTTGGTTTTCAAGTCAGGGTTTCCTGTAGCTTTGAAGGCTGTCCTGGAAAGGTACACCAGGGTGGCCTTGAACTTAGAGAGATCCTCCTGCCTCTGCCTCCCAAGTACTGGGATTAAAGGTGTGCGCCACCACTGCCCATTTTTAAGCTGTATTTTTATGGGGGATATGTGAAGAATGTTTTATGTCAGTATGTGTACACTCATGTGTATGCATGTGTGTGAAAACCAGAGGTTCCCAGAAGCCATCCACCTTGTGTGTGTGCATGTGTGTGCACATGGGTGTGGACATCAGAGGTTAACAAGTATGTCTTTCTGAGGCAAGGTCTCACAATGTAGCCCTAGTCTGGCTGGAACTACAGTGTAGATCACATTGGCCTCAAACTCACAGCGATCGTCCTGCCTCTATCTGCCCTCCTCCCCAGTGCAAAGATTCAAGATATGCGCCACCATCCATACTTTTTGAGGCATAGTTTCTCACTGAACCTGGAGTTCACTGATTCTACTGGACTGGCTACACACAAGCCCCTAGGAATCTTCTCTCTTTGGCTCCTGAGTGCTGGGATTTTAAGTGTGTACCTGGGATTTGAGCCAACTCCTCATGGAAAGCAGTGTTTGTAGGTAAGACACTGGGAACAACCCACACCTCCTTAAGAGCCAGCCAGCTACCTCAGGAGTTCAAGTATGACACTACTCTGATCTAACACAGTGAGAACCTACCTAAAAAATAAATTAAAGAGGCAGTTAAGTCAATGAGGCCATGAAGCCATCCACACTCTAACACCAGGGGTCAGAATAAGCCTCCCTGCTGGGCAGTGGTGGACGCCTTACATCCCAGCACCAGGCCTGGAAAGCTCTATCTGCCATGGTGGCTCCGCCCCCCGGAGATCCACCTGCCTCTGTCTCGGTGCTACTCTGCGTTTATTCTGAGGAAAAATGTCCAGCCTCGTCTTTACTTTTGAGAAAGGTTTTTGTAAGTATTGGTCTGTGGGTGGTGGGCTGGAATCACTCAGCTCAGGGTGCCCTGGGAGACAAATGTTAAGTGCAGCACGCAGGGCCCTGGAGTGCTCCACCAGACACCAAGCCAGCCTAGGCTGCAGCTTCCCGCGCTCCATGGGGACAGATATTAACGTCACGGGTGTCCTGCCTGTCTTACTTACCAGTGTCCCTCTGCCAACATCGGTGTGTCCACTGAGGGGCACAGACGAGACAATGGACACCGCTGTACACATCTGCCGTGCCTAGCTGTATTACAAGCGACAGCACTGAAGCCTCGGGGCTTCTCAAGACGAACAACCAAGGCTGGCAGGGCGGCACGGATGTGAAAGTGCTACTGTCAAGCTGACGGCCCGAGTTTGAGTCCCGGCTCCTCCACACAAGCACCATGGCCCAGGCCACTGCCAGGCTAACTCACCCATTCTTTGTTGTTTGGTTTTTCCAGACAGGGTTTCTCTCTGTAGCTTTGGAGCCTGTCCAGGAACTCACTCTGCAGACCAGGCTGGCCTTGAACTTACAGAGGTCCTCCTGCCTCTGCCTCCCCAGTGCTGGGATTAAAGGCGTGCGCCACCACTGCCTGGCTGAGTTATCCATTCTTATCTACTTAATTTATTCACCTCTTTAACCTGATATTTAAGGATGTTTGTCATTTCTGACCAGTTTATAAAACAGTTCTCACCTCCCGACTGATGAAGCATGCGGCCCACAGTGTTTGCTAACTAGAGGGGGTAATAGTGAGAGAAGCTGGGGGCAGCCTGAGCCCCGGGCCACAGGGCCAGCACAGGATGGTGCCCCGCCCTCCTACCTGGTATTCCTCATGCTGCTGCAGCAGCTGGCAGCGGTGCCGGAGCAGCTCCTCCAGGCCCAGCTCAGGCTCCCGGCATTCTCGCACACCCTGGGGAAAGTCCGTCACAAGGCTACAGGAGGACAGGAGAGCAGACCTTAGGACCCCATCTGCAGCAGACACCACAGCCCAGTGCCAAGCCCCCCACCGCTGCTCCTGTGGGAGCCAAGGTATGCCATGGCGCTATGGTGGGTGTCGGCTCCCCATCTGTAAAACTGCCCTCCAGCTACGGTGAATACAGAGTTCAGATGGTGCCTGCCATGATGCCTATGCTGGCTCCATCATGCTCCAGGTGTGTCTAACCTTTGGACGCGTCATCTACAAGGTTCATGCTGGACAATGGTACGGTTGAGTTACTTTAAGAAATTGTACAATGTTTTAAGTACATTTACAATTCTCTATTGGGCAGCATTCACAGAGATCCTGGGGCACATGTGGCCCAAGGCCTGATGGTTATAAAAGCCTGGACCGCTAATTTGTTTACCCTGTGGGAACCATAAGAAGGGATTCTCCCTCCCAAGCACTGTGAGGAAATGCTCTGTGTGGTCTCTGCTCCTCTCTGACCTACACTCTTCATCTAGTGCCTGACCTGCTCTTGCTGTGGGGACCCCACTCAAGGCCCCCTCCTCCCGGGGCCCCAGCATACCTGCACAGGGCTCCGAGCACATGCTCATGGAAAGGGCTGTGTTCTGTCCTCACAAGGGCCACCAGCTGCTGGACCATCCCCATAGAGCAAAGGGTTCCTGGGGGAAGAGCCGTGGGAGTCAGGAGGAAGGCTCCCGGACCGCCCTCTGTCCCCCACATGTCCCTCTCAGGACACCTGCTTTCCCTTGCAGACACTGCACCTTTGTGTTCCGGGTGGCCCACCAGCAGGTTCTGCAGCAGGAATGCCGACTTGACCTTGAGCTTCTGCACTTGCTGCTGCATGGCCCGCATCAGCACGGAGAACCCATCCAGGCGGAGGAACTGCAGCAACCCAGCCTCTTGCTCTCGGACGAGGCCTGGAGGGAGGGGCAGAGCTGTGAGGTCCTAGTCACCATGGCTGCCACCACCATTATCACCACACTAGCATCTTGACCATCACCACAACTAACACCACCCATCACTATTTGTTGTGGAATAATCTTTTTGTGCACTGTGAAGATACAATGTCTTTGCCAAGGCTCCTTCTGATTGGTTTAATGGAGCTAAGTGGCCAATAGCTAGACAGGAGGCATAGGTGGGGTTTCTGGGGAGAGAAAGGAAGAGGACGTAGGCATGAGGAGAAGCAAGACACACGGAAGGAGCAGGACAGGCAGTATGGAGGTAAGGTTAAAAAGCCACAAGGCAAACACAGAGCTATTGGGACAAGCCTAAGCTAAGGCCGAGCTTTCATAATTAATACTAAGTCTCTGTGCCATTATTTGGGAGCTGGCTGGGGGGGGGGACACAAAGACTATTATCATCATTGTCAACACAATCGGCACTATCATTACCAGCACTATTACCATCATCAGCACCACAACCACGGCTATGACCATCATCAATACCATCATCACTATGACCATCAATACCACCATCATCACTATGACCATCAATACCACCATCATCACTATGACCACCACCATCATCATATCTGCCTTCCCAGACCTTATTTAGGTCTTAAGGTAAGGTTTCAGCCAGGTGGTGGTGGCGCATACCTTTAGTCCCAGCACTCAGGAGGCAGGTGGATCTATGTTAAGTTCGAAGCCAGCCTGGTCTACGAGAACTAGTTCCAAGACAGACAGCTTCCAAAGCCACAGAGAAACCCTGTCTTGAAAAACCAAAAAAAAAAGGTTTTCTATGTCTCAGTCTGGCCTCCAGCTCACATACTTAGCCAAAGATGGCACTGAACATTTATTTCTAAGTCTTACTTCCTCCGCCTTCAAAGTGCAGGAACTATAGGTATACAGCACCACAGGCAGCTTAAATTACCATTTTACAGACAAGAGAGCCAGGCTACAGAGCATGTATGATCTTTATTCTGAGGGCAATGAGGACTCTGTACAGCCTACAAACAAGGCAAAGAGCCAACCAGGGATGCATGTACAGTGCAGGAAGGCCAGCTCCATGACAAGCTCCACGCCTGCACTGCTTGGGCAAACAGGAGCCACTGCAAGTTCAAGGCCACTGGGTACCTGACATGTGACGAGGGTGACTAAGGAGCCAGGCTGTTCCTTTCAAGTTCATTGAAATATAAAGTCAACAAACAGAAAGGGTGTAAAATTTTCCATTAAACACAACTCTGTTGCTTTAGTAAAACTATATACCAACCATTGGAAATTCTACGCCTTCACTGAGGTGTAAAATGAACACCAAGGACTTCTGAAGTCTTAGCATGACAAAAAGGACATAAAGCATCTCACTGATCATCTGTATGCAGGGGCTGGAAAGATGGCTCTGTGGTTAAGTGCACTGGCTGCTCTCCCAGCAGACCCAGGGTTACTTCTCAACACCCATTTGGTGGCTCACAACCACCTGTAACTCCAATGCAGGAGCTCCAATGCCCTCCCTCCTCCTCCTGAGGAGTCAGTCACCAGGCATACGTACATGAAGAACACCCACAGGCATATTACATGCACATGAAAAATAAAAACTTTACAGATTGGTGTGCATCCACTGTGTGCTCCAGTTTTTACTGCTATTCATTTCTTTTTAATGTTTTTAGTTGTCCATGTGCAAACATGTGCGTGTGAGTACCCGTGCCCACAGAGGCCAGGACGGGACGGTAGGCGTAGATGCCCTGGGGCTGGGGCCTCAGGCGGTTATAAGCCGCCGCGCGTGGATGCTAGGAACCAAACTCAGGTCCTCTGCAAGGGCAGTATGCTGCTTGTTTGAGTTTTTGTTTTCTTTTTTAAACTGCTGAGCCATCTCTCCAGCCTCTTTGTTTCCTTTTTTCAAGATAGTGACTTACTGTGTTGTTTAGGCTGGCCTTGAACTCACAATCCTCCTCCTCAATCTCCCAAATGTTAGAATTAGAAACATATGCTACCATGCCTGAACTTCATAAAATGTCACTAAAAAAGACGACGATGCCAACGCCGACCTGGGGCTGGCTCGGCGCTAACAGCACTGACTGCTCTTACAGAGGCTCCAGCACCCACATGGCAGCCAATGACCGCATGTGACTCCAGTCCAGGGGGCCTGAATGCCCTCCTCGGCCCTCCGTGGACACATGAGCTGTTTGTCTGCTTAAAGATTTATTTACTTATTTATTTTAGTGCGCTTACGCTTTCCTTGCAGGTATGCCTATGTGAGGGTGTCAGACCTAGACCTGGAGTCACAAGCAGTTGTGAGCTGCCCTGTGGGCGCTGGGAATTGAGCTCAGGTCCTATGATAGAGCAGCCAGAGCTCTTAACCGCTGAGCCACCCTCCAGCCTGTTGGCTTTTGACAGAAGGCGGGTATAAGCACGTGCAATCTCAGTGCTTGGGAAGTGACAGGACTACACAGCAAGTGGCCAGCCAGCCGGGACTGTAGTGAGACTCCGTCTCAAAAAGCTGAAAGGGGGCTGGTGAAATGGATCAGCAGGTAAAGGCAATCGCTGCCAAACCTGATGACCTGAGCTTCATTCCCAGGACCCACACAGTAGGGCACAGCTGAACTCCACAAGTTACCTCTGCCCTCCAGTCAGTTATGGGCGGTGGCACTTGCAAGTAGACACACACACACACACACACACACACACACACACACACACACGCATGCACACTAATAAAATGTAATAACTTAAACTGAAAATAGTAAGAACGGAGGCTACAGAGATCCCAGCACCCAGATGGTGGCTCACAACAATCTGTACTCAGGTTCCAGGCCATCCAACTCTTCTAACCTCCTGTGGTACCAGGCACACAAAGCGGCAGACATTCATCCAGACAAGACACACATACATATATGTACATAAATAATTTTTAAGAGAAAATAGCTGGGCATGGTAGCTCATGTCTGTAACCCCTGAACTCAGAATTCAGGTCATCTTCAATAACATAGTGAGTTTAAGGCCAGCCATGGCTACCTCAGATCCTATTTTTAAAAAAATAAATAAAAATAAAACTAGATAATATAAATAAATAACACAGTAACCCATGGGTGAGAGACATGAGGCACCATAAACCAAACTGGCAAACATAGCCTGGAAGCTCTACCTCCAAAGCATGACCAGAGCAATCATGGCCCCCGACCCTAGGGTATCTCCACACCTGGACATGGGAAACACGTGGGGCTGGACCAGCCGAGCTGTGGAACAACCATGAGCATGGCTGCATATGGACAAGAGCCCTGACCCCCCCCCCCCCACTCCAACAACTGAGAATTCCTCGAGTCATTACCAGTCACCTTTCCTCAGGGACCTCTCTCACCTCAACCTTCATTGTTGCCGACTCAGCTTCCACATTCCATGAACCCTGGCTGGGCCCCTATCTCTTCTCTGCAGTGGGGGAAAGACAGAATGGCTGCTGCCGCTCTCAACTGACAGCCAAGGTCATCACCACGGGACACACTACGCCCTTAAAAAGCTATACTCACTCAACTCTGCACCGTAAAGAAATGAGCCGACAAGACAGAGGAAGGTTAGGGCACGTTACTACACAACGGGCCAACTAGAAAAGGCTGCGTGCTGGGTTCCAGCGATGTGGCTCTGGTCATGTGAATGAAAAAGACCCCCACAGGCTCATTGGGAACAGCACTATTAGGAGGTGTGGCCTCGGAGTGGGTGTGGCCTTGTTGGAGGAAGTGTCACTTTGGGGGTGGGCTTTGAGGTTTCAAATACTCAGGCCAGGATCAGGATCTCTTCCTGCTGGCTGAGGATGCAGACGTAGAGCTCTCGGCTCCTTCTCCAGCACCATGCCCTCCTGCACGTCACCATACTTCCTGCCGTGACGACGATGGACCAAACCTCTGAAACTGTAAGCCAGCCCCAATTAAAGGCCTTCCTTCAGAGCTGCCGTGGTCATGGTGTCTCTTCACGCAATAGGAACCCTGAGACAAGTCAAACTGTGGGTCAGGGGTGTGATGTGATGTCCTGGCAGGGCACAGAGGATCTAGGCAGTGAAATGACCGTGGAGTTCCATAATGATGGACATGTGCCACTAGATGTCTGTCCAAACATCTAGTCACAACCCTGTGTGAACCCAATATGAGCTACATGCAGATCCCAGACAGCAATGATGTGGGTTATTAGTGGGAGCAAATGCACATCTCGGTTGGGATGCTGATGAGGAAGGGAGCTGTGTGGGCCCAGGACAGAGGATAACAGAAATCTCTCTGTACCTCCACTTTGTTATGAATCTAAAATTCTCTAAGCCTGGGTGGGGATATAGTTCAGTAGTAGAGTGCTTGCACAGCATGTATGTGGTTCTGGGTTTGAAACCCACCAAGTTGGGCATTTTGGTGCATGCCTGTGGTTCCAGCTCTAGAGAGGCTGAGGCAGGAGGACCAGGAGATCAAGGCCATCCTTGGCTACCTAGCTAGTTCAAGGCTATGCTAGGCCGTTTGAGACCCTGTCTTAAAAACAAAATAAACGGGCTGGAGAGATGGCTTAGTTGGTTGGGAGTCTTCGCTGTTCTTCCAGAGTATCTGAGTTCGGTTCTCATACCCTACAACAGGCACTTCACAACTACCTGTAATTACAGCTCCAGGGGATCCGATTCCCTCTTCTGGACTCTGCAGGTACCTGCCCTCCCAAAAACACATACACACATAATTAAAAATAAAACAGCAAGATTGATGCAAGTCTGAGGCCTGCCTGGGCCACACAGGGAGTTACACACGGGGTTCCAGTGTACTAACAATAGGCTACCAAGATGGCTCACAGGTCACCAAGGCTGATACGCTGCGTTCAATCCAGAAACCCAGTGTTGGAAGGTGAGAACCAACTCCCACGGGAAGTTGCCTTTAGACCACCACACTTGCACTATGGCACACATGCCCCGATATAAACGTTTAAACAAAAAAGGAATCTTAAAAATCCAAAAACAAGAGCCAGGTGTGAAAGCACACACTTGTAATCTAAGTGTCTGGGAGGTGGAGACAGGGGGATCACGAGGCCATCCCTGGCTATACAGCCAGTTCGAGGCCAGCATGGGATACACACTACCCTGCCTGAAAAAGAGAGATGATAAGGAAAGGCCAGTGTGGCGGCTCAGAGGCTGAAAGCACTTGCTGCACAAACAGGCTGGCCTGTTTAATCCCCTGGGTCCTCAAAGGCTAGAGAGAGGGAGCTCAGTCCACAGTTGCCCTCTGCTAGCACGTGAGTACGATGGCACTCACCACCTCCTCTCCCGCTGACACTAAGGCTTATTTTTGTCTGGATCTCTGAGTTCAAGGCCAGCCTGGTGCACGGAATGAGAGGCACGCAGAGAAACCCCATCTGGGTGTGAGGGGAGGGGGAGGAGCAGGAGCAGACGCAGGGATCAAGCCAACAGAGGTACATGTGTATCCCCCTGCCCTTCCGTGTCCCCTCCCCCACCCCAGGCCCTAGCAGGCATGACTGCAAGTGACCCATCGCTGAGTCTCTCTGAAACCCTTTCTCTGTGAGAACAAAGAGCCACTTACAAACGTGAAGTGGCAAGGCCCCCAAGTCTGTGGCCTCACAAGAGAGGGACAAGAATGTAGTAGTGTCCCCGCCTCGGGCAGCAGGAGCCCACGTGACCAAGCCCTACCGGTTCCTAGCACGGAGCCCTGGAAAGCAGCCACACGGCACCATAGGATAAAGGCACCCGAGGAAGGTCAGACACTGCTTGGCTGCACACTTTAAAGTGGCTGTGTCAACTTTACTTCAGGGTAAAATGGCAGTGTCGTTTTAGTAGCCCCCACCCCATTTCACCTGGAGCCAAGCATGCTGTGAGGCCACTCAAATGCTTTGTTCAGCAGCAGGCCTCCTTGGAGGCAGATAGCCAACAGCAGAGGATGCATCATTGTCATAGTCCATTGCCCTGAGGACCAGGACCTCACAAAGGACGAAAGCAAGAGCTACTGAAGTAGGCTGCTCTTGAGCTGTGACCCACAGAAACGGTGAAAGATGATGATGTGAAGAACAAAGGGTCAAGGTAGTCTAAGATGTGCTGGACAGACCATCCATGTGGTCAGTCACCAGGTACACAGGTACACACTGCCAATGGGCAGAGGAAGAGAGGCTTCTGTGTGCATGTCTGCAAATTTACATGCACATACACAAAACACCTTACACCATACACACCACAGACACCATACACCAACCAGATACAACCCACACCAGATACCCATACCAAACACGCCCCACCACACACACACCACACACACATTCTCTCTCTCTCATACTTATAGGAATATGTACCATGTACAAGAGAGTAACCAGAGCCAGACAGTGATGGCGCACTCAGGAGGCAGAAGCAGTCGGATCTCTGTGAGTTCCAGGCCAGCCTGGTTTACAGAGCTAGTTCTACAATAGCCAGAGATACAGAGAGAAACTGATTCCCAAAAAACAAAACCAACCAACCAACTAAACAAACAAACAAACAAAAACAGGGCTGGAGAGATGCTTCAGTGGTTAAGAGCACTGGATGCTTTTCTAGAGGTCCCCAGTTCAATCCCCAGCAACCACATGGTGGCACACAACCATCTGTAATGAGGTCTGGCGCCCTCTTCTGGCCTGCAGGGATAAATGCAGGCATAACACTGCATACATAAAAAAATAAACAAATCTGGCTCAGCAGTTGAGAGCACCTATTGTTCTTCCAAGACTTAGATTTGGTTCGGTTCCCAGTATCCACATGACAGCTCAAATACACCTGTAACTTGAGTTCAAGAAGATACGATACCCTCAGGCACTGTACACATATGGTGTACTTACAGGCAAAAAACTCAAGTACATATAAAAAGTACAAGTGATAAATCTTATAATAAGTAGATAAAACTCATTAGAAGGAAGCTTTGCAAGTGCCTCCCAGCCGGCTCTAGGTCTGGCTGTAGCTGAGCTGGAGACATATGTCCTTTTCCTTACCATAGGGCTAGGCTATCCTGTCTGGGCCTGGGCATGACTTCCATAAGGCTGCCCTGCCCCAGACCTGCCCCAGCCCCTGAAGAAAGCCTGTTCTTCCCACCAGCCTGGCGCCCCAGGAGCATCTGCCTGGCCTCTGCTGTGAGGAAGCCGCTGGGACCAGAGCACAAAATGCAGGATCGGGGAGAGGCGCCTCCCACATACGTCCTCTCTCCATCTCCCCAGCTTCCCCCCACCCCCACAATCTAGCTTTGTAACCCTCTTTGACCTTAAACTCGTGGCAATCCTCCTGGATCCTGGGATTACACTAGGCTTGGCTTTATACGTCCTGTTCAAAGTATGTAACCGCTAGAGCTAAGGGACAGTCGGACTGGGGTGTTGGTCAGTTGATGGTAGGATGTTTCCCTAGCATTCATGAAGCCGTGGGTTCAAGTCCCTGCAGCTCACTAGCCAAGCACGGTGGTGGGTGCATGCCTAGAAAGACACAGGCAGGAGAATGAGAAGGGAAAGGTTTTCTGAAACAGAGAGCGTGCAAAGCCAACCTGGTATATGTGAGATCCCATCTCAGAAATGGAAAGGAGCCAGGTGTGGCGCCACACACCTTTCATCCCAGCACCCAGGAGCAGAGGCAGGAGGATCTCTGAGTTCAATGCTAGCTAGTTGCAGAACAGCCAGAGCTACACATAGAGAAAACCTGTCTTAGGAAAAAAAAAGAAAAGAAAGAAAGAAGACAGAAAGGAAGGAAGAGAAGAAAAGAAACAGTCAACCTTGCAGAGATAAACAAGGAGTCCCTGTATGTCCTGGCAAGCCCACTCCCAGGTACATACACTAAGAAAGGGGACATGTCGACAGACAAGACTTGCAACCGCTGCTCACAGCAGCAGAGCCTGAGAGGCTGAGACAACCCAGACTCCCACTGGCAGATGGACAGATAAACAAAAAGTGCCGTGTTGATGCGCTGGAATGTCATTCAGCCATAAAAAGGAATGAAGTACTGGCCCATGCCACAACAAGGATGAACACTACGCCCAGTGAAAGAGTCCAGAAGCAAAAGGCCACATGGGGCTCACAGTTCTGTTTACAGTAAGTGTCACGGACAGGCAAACCCTCAGACACACTGGACTAGTGGCTGCAAGAGCTGACGTTAGGGATAAGGGAGGGACCGCTGCATGTCGACAGCGTCCAGCTGGAGGCGGCAAATGCTACGAGTTAAAGGGGGGGTACAACCGGGTGAATGCACTAAGAAAAGGACGGGTTCAGCTGGGCCTGGAGGCATAGGCTATAATCTAAGCTACTTGAAATATGGAGGCAGGAGGATGAAAAGCTCAAGGCTTGCTTGGACTGTAGAGTTACCTAGGCCAACCTAGGTAAACTTCACAAGATCCTGTCTCAAAACAAAAAAGTACAGAGAGCCGGGGTGTACTCCAGAGTGCTTGTCTATCACGCACACAAAGCCCTGGGGTCTAAGCACGGAGGGACATGTCTGCGATGACAGTCATCACTTCAGGAGAGGCACTCATAAGGCCCTGCCCCTCCCCAAGAAACTAGTCCACGGTTGCTGAGGGAGCAGGTAGGAGGGGCCACACCCTCAGTGCTGTGGCCCGGAACTGGGGAAATGAGTACCCACCGGAGCTCATGAGAACGACCCTAGTTAAATGCAGCGGGTCACAAAACAAAGTACCAGACGTGAAAGCAGGAAGAGAATTGTTGGTGGATGAATCTCTGTGAGTTAAAGGCCAGCCGGGACTATGTGGCGAGTTCCAGGCCAGCCAGAGCTACACAGTGATAGTATCTCGAAAATAAATAAATAGTAAAATTAAAAATAAACACACACACACACACACACACACACACACACACACACACGAGCCTGAGGCACAGCTCAGCAGATACAGACATTTGCCACCAACCTGAGAACCTGAATTCAACCCCTAGAGCCCACATGGTAGAAGCAGACACATACACTAAATAAATACAGAAATTACTAAAAACAAAAGTAACATTAAGTAAGTGCCCCACAGCGCTGGTCTTCTATCTGTCCCCACACTGGCACCTATGTCTGAGCTAAACGTCTCTGCCCATGCTTTGGCTCCCTTGCTCCACAGGCTGTGAGGGCAGACAGCATCCCTGTAGAGTGGAGGTACTCACTGAGGGACACTGTCCTGTCTGGAGAAGTGGGGGATGTTGTAACTGGAGGATGCCACTGTGTCTCCAGCTGGTGGAGGCCACAAACACAGTACCCTACAGCATATGGGCTCAGTACCCTACAGCACATGGGAAGTTCTCCAAGGCAGAAAATAAACTGACGGCAAACATGGACAAAGACCCTGATGCGTGTGAGGTGCTCAAGCTGAACCACAAGGCCACAACAAGGCCGTGGCACACCACGCACTGCCCAGCGACTGCTGGTCTCCGGCTCTCTGGCTCTGGCACCTCACACAGAACCCCAGCAAAAATGGGAATCCAAGAATAAAGGAAGCACCCAACCCCCTATCCCCTATGGCTCCAGCATGCCCCAGGCCCTCCCCCCAGCAATCCTGGACACTCACAGGAGATGGCGAAGAGGGCCTTGACGCGTACCGTGTCGCAGGAGTCCCGGTCGAGCAGTCGAAGCAGCTTGCGCAGGGCACCCAAACCCAACACCTGCTCCTGGATGGCTGCAACATTCTGACTGCATGTGCCGATGAGCTGGGCTGCCCTCCAGCGCAGCCCTGCAGCCCCAGCCTCGAGGTATCGGCCCACCAGCAGGTGCATGCCTGACAGCTGGCAGAAATCTGTAGACAAGAGAAGACAGAAGACCATCAAAGCCCCCAGTTCATGGGCTGACCTCTTAAGCCTTAGCGTGTGACTACATTTAGAAACGGTGTGGGAACTCACTTGTGAGTAATGAAAAGTTCTGGAAGTGAGACAGGTCTGGGGCTAGCTAAGGCTGTAAGCACTCAGGAAGCCCTGGGTTTGAGTCCCAGCACCTCATTAAACAGGATTAGTGGTGCACTCAGCACTCAGGAGGCAGTAAGATCACAAGTTCACAAGTTCCAGGTCATCCTCAGCTACATAGGAAGCTTAAGGCCAGCCTGGTATACATATGGCTCTGGCACAAGCTGGGAGTAGTGATGCAGTCTGCTGAGGCAGGCGGATCTCTGTGAGTTCAAGGCCAGCCTGGGCTACAGAGTGAGTTCCAGGACCACCAGAGCTGCTACACAGAGAAACCCTGTCTCAAAAAACAGGTCAAAAAACAGAAGCGGAGAAGCCGGGGGTACATGCCTATAATTCTCTGAGACAGAAGGATCAAAAGTTCTGTGTGGGCTACAGAGGGAGTTCAAGGCCAGCCGGGCAACTTGGTGAGATCCTGCCTCAAGATGCAAAATGAAAAGTGGGCTAGCAATATAGCTCAGTAACAGTATGCTTGCTACATGCTTGAGATCCTGAATTCCTACCGTCCTTATAACACACACACACACACACACACACACACACACACACACACACACACACACACACGTTCTGGAACCTGGCAGGTGGCAGTTGCACAGTATCATGAATATCCTGAAAGCTACCAGGTATGCTGGCACAAGCCTGTAATTCCAGCACTTATAAAACAGAAACAGGAGGATTGCTACAAGTTCAAAGTCAGCTAGGATGTTATGGAAAGACTGCCTCAAATAATAATAATAATAATAATAATAATAAAAACAAAAAAAACCAACAGTAAAATAAAACAAAATAAATGAACGCGCGCGCAATAAATTTAAAAAAAAAAAAAAGAAAGACTATGGGGATTGAAAAAATGGCTCACATGGTTAAGAACATTTGCTGTAGGTTCTTGTAGAGGACCCTGATTCGGTTTCTAACACCCATAAATCAGGATCACAACTGTCTGTAACTCCAGTTCCAGGGGATCCAAAGCCCTCTTCTAGCTTTGCAGGACACCAGATATGCATGCATGTGGCATACATACATACATCACATATATACATACATACATACATCACATACATACATACATACATACATGCAGACACTCACACACACACACACACACAAACACACAAAAATACATAGCTCATGCCTTTAGTCCTAGCCCTTGGGAGGCAGAAGCAAGTAGATATCTGTGAGCCTCAGGCCAACGTGGCCTACAGAGTTCCAAGCCAGCTAGGGCTACATAGTGAGATCTTGCCTCATGAAATAAATAACAAAACTAAGCCAGGCTTGGTGGTGCACACCTTTAATCCCAACACTCAGGAGGCAGAGGCAGATGAATTTCTATGAGTTTGAGGCCAGCCTGGTCTACAAATCCAGTTCCAGGACAGCCAAGGCTGTTATCTGTACCAAAAAAAAAAAAAAAAAAAAAATTAAGCAAATAAATAAATAAACAAAAATAAGTATTATGTATTAAAAAAAAAAAAAAATGCGACCTACAGAATGCCAAAGCAGGGATAAGCCCAAAACAACCTCACTTCTTGGGTCTCTGATGGATGCTGTACCTCTGCCTTCTCATCCTCTAGGAGGCGGCAGGAGATGGCCGGCAGATTAGGGGGCGACCGATCAGGCTCAGGACTTATCAGGGAAGCAGCGTGGCACTAGGCTGACTTGGTGGGTGCACGAAGAGAAGGGCCTTGCTCCTGTGGTAACCATGGGGAGGGAGGGGCTGGGAGGAGCTGATGGTGCGATGCAGGAGAGAAGGGATGAGGCTGAGCTACAGAGGATGTGGACACTGTGGGGGGGGGGGGCCGGGGGTACCTGCTGCATTGTCCATGTTCTCGCACAGGTCTGCCAGCAGCTCTAGTGCCCCTTCGCGCTCCTGCTGGTCAGTGGCCAGCTCGGCTTCGCCAGCAGTTGCAGGTGTGGGCTGGGACAGCACCCGGAGGCAGCTCTTCATCTGCTCCACCTCCTCTCGCTGGCCCCGGAAGGCAGCCGACATGGCTTCCTGCAGCCACTGGCGTCTCTAGGGAAGAAGGAGAAAGGGTGGGTAGAGAAGCGAAAGTCTCTCTCTCGGTGATGACCGAGGTAGTGGCATTAAATACAGCATATTGGGGAAAGCAAGCACAGCCGCCTCGTTCTGTAGTTCGGCTGCTGGGATTAAAAGCACGCGCCACGTGCCCCGGCAGGCCGGCAGTTCTTTCCTAGTACTAGGGACTCAGTCCTGAAACAGAAAGGTTAAAGAAACAGGAGAAGGGGGCGGGTGCTTTCAGGGGGTGTGGGTGGTGAACAGAGGGAGGCTACAGGAAAATAAGTAGAACATGTAGTGTGTGACATAATATGACAACCTGGCAGGCACTGTGGGGTAAGAGTAAGCAGAGGGGAGGATCGAGGGAGTGGAGAACTAAACGGGGTCGTTTTAAGGGTCACGTGCAAGCAATGAACCGGGCCAGGGAGTAGCCAGGTGGGCGCTGGGAAGAATCATCAAGGCAGAGGGGGCCACCAGGAGGCCAAGGGGGCTGAGGCAAGACTGATTAAGGGGAGAAAAAAGTGTGGAGGGAGAAACGCCTGCTGTGGAATAATCCTGTACACTGTGAAAATGTGTTCCTCACATTTCTAGCAAAAAGCTGACTGGCTCCCTTGTAGCCAGGAAGGAAGTACAGGTGGGACAAGCAAACTGAAGACTGGGAAGAAAGAGGAGTTGCCAGGGAATGCAGAGGGAGCAAATCATGCTGGAGGGCAGGTAAAGCCACGAGCCATGCAGCAATACACAGATTAATAGAAATAGGTTAAGTTGTGAGAGCTAGTTAGTGATAAGCCTGAGCTATTGGCTGAGCACTTATAATTAATAATAAGACTCTCTTGCGGTTATTTGGGAAGTAGCTACCAGGACAGGAAAACTTTGCCTACAAACACCCCAGGAGAAGAGCAGGTTGGATCTTATGGATGGTTGAAAATGCCTAGATTTTGTTCTACATAAGGTGGGCGTAGCTACAAAAGTTCTTAGCAGAGAGGGAGAGACATGGACTGAGAAGTGTAAAAATGGAGACAGGCAGGCTTAGCAGGAGACTGAGGGGCCCATGCAAGAGAAAAGGTGATGAGCTGAAGGTGTTGGCATATGCTTGTAATCCCAGCACTGGGGAGCGCAGAGGTGGAGGCAGGAGGGCTACAAGTTCAAGAACAATCTCAACCATGCATCAGTGTGAGGAATGGACAGGTCCTGGGCTGTGAAAAGAGGACTAATTGAACAGCTAAGTTATAAAGCAAGAAAGAGTACCAGGATGATGCTGGGTTTTGTCCTGACCAACTGGGGGGGGGCGGTGTGGGGGGGGGTGGCGGCGACACAAGACGCACTCGTTTTCCACAAGATGTCAGGTTTGAGGATCTGCTACCAGGTAAAACACAGAGTAGGTGTCCTCGTGATGAGGGCAGAGGTCCTGGCATCTTTGTTCTACTGACACCCTGAGCTGGATGGTTCTGCACGGGGACAAAAGTCCTGAGAATTACATGCGGTTGCACAGCATTCCTGGCATGCACTTTCCCCAAACTGTGACAAGAGCAGCTCCATCCAGACTGGTGTGGGGGGCAGAGACAGGCGGATCTCTGTGAGGCTAGCCAGGTCTATAAATCAAGTCCCAGGGCAGCTAGGGCTATTACACAGACATCCACTGTTGTCTCAAAAGAGAGGGGGAGGGGGAAACAAGAAAGGAAGGAAGGAAAGACAGAGACAGAAAGAAAGAAGAAAGAAAGGCTCTACCTATTGCTAACTGTCCTCTGGAACATTGAAAGAGAAAATAGAAAGTATGGAGAATGAAGAGAAACCAACAACGGACACAAACAAGGACAAGTACAGAGGAAGCCCAGAGAGGGCTGAAGAGCCTGACACACACTTTGGAGGTGGAGGCAGGAAGTTCAGGAGGACAAGGTCATTTTGGCTAGCCTGGTTTATAGGAGGCCTCAGTCTTGAAAAAGGAAAGGAAGTGGGAAGGGGGGAGAGGTTGTAAAGCTTTGTAATCATATGCCCTGATAAATTTGGGCAAGCTATCCCATTGCTCTGTGCCTGTTTCTCCTCCTGCTCTAAAGGTCAAATGACACAATGTATACAGGTTATTCTATAACTTAACTGAATGCTACACTATTTCCACGTACAGTAACTGTCAGCTAAAAAAAAAAGAAAATTACATGTAAATTTCTATCAGGTTTTATTATGGCTAATCCGAATGCATTGACTGAAAAAGAAAAAAAAAAAAAAAAGGATGCGACTTGCCCAACCAAGGTCATGGTTGGTACAGTATGCTGAGCCCAGTCTAAACGGGAAAGCTGAGCCCAGTCTAAACGGGAACATAAGAACTGCCTTATGAAACATTGTCATCACTATTATCAGCATCATTTCGAAAAGGAATGAAAACATGAAGACTGGAAAGATTAAATAATATACCCAAGGTCACACACACTTCGTGGAGACAAGGCTGAATCCAGGTCTGCCTGATTCCAGAGAACCCTAGCTAGCTTCTCTCTCTTTCCTCTCCCACTCTCTCTCTCTCTTCCCTCTCTCTCTCTCTCTTCCCTCTCTCTCTCTCTCCCTCTCCCTCTCATCACCATTCTGCCTCTCAGACGGAGGCTGTCATCAGCCACTTCACAGCCGACCTTCAGCCTACCATGAGGCCACATTTAGACTCCTGCTCGCCACCCAGACAGAGAACGGCTCATTGAAGTCACTCTCCCCCAGACACTGACACCCCAGGGCCCCCACCCCAGCTCCTTGGGTCCGCGTACGTTACCTCCTCGCTCATGGGTTCTGGCGGGGGCTCCGGCTCCTCTGAGCCCGCGGTTATGGCCATCTGTAGCAGGCCTTGAAGGTTCCGTGGGGGCCGGGGATTGCCTGAGCCCCCCGCCGAGGAGCCGCCGCCGCCCGGCGAGCAGCCCTGGGAGGCCGGGGGCAGCGCGAGCGGGAGCCGGCTGCCCCCCGGGCCTTTGTCTGCCATGGACCTCTTGTGAAGGGAGGATGCGTGTGTCGAAGGAAGGCGGCGGTCACCGCGGGGGCAGCTGTGGCATCCGATGCGTCCACGGTCGGGGGTCTGCTGAGAAGGCGGCGCCAGCCGAGTGTCAGGAGCCCAAAGCATCCTGCCTGCACCCTCCCCGCCCTTCACTCCATCAGGACCCTTCCCCAAATCCAGAAGCCTCCCCTCCGCTCTTCCTCCCTAGCAACAGGCCCCACCCACTCTCCCTGGCAACGAGCAACCCCCCCACCCACGAAGCTCCACATTTTGCGTCCTCGTCTCTTAGCAACTCCACTGCCGCGCCTCCACGGCAACAAGCCTTTCCCTCGGCCTCCTCAGTGACAAGCGCCCTCCCTCGCCTTGGAAGAGGGGCGCCCCACTGGGGCCGATCTCACCTGCCCGGGTCCGGAGCCGCCACCACGCCTAAAGACAGGCTCGCCTGCACCTGACTCTGGTGGGCGCCGCCATCTTTGCCGGAAATACGCGCGGCCTCGCTCGGAAGTGCCTCACGCCGGGCAGTTCGCCCCGGTTCTAAGCGGCGCCTATAGGCGGCGGACGCGGCACTTAGCTCCGCCTCCCTCGGCTAGCCCCACCCACCGCCACCCCGCCCCATTTCCCCCGCCCCCGCCCATTGGCGCGTTTGCTGTAAGTCCCGCCTCTGGCTCCTCCTCCGTGCTCCTCCCAGGCGTAGGCCCCGCCCACACCCATATTTCCCCGCCTCTGTTCTAGGCCTTTCCCAGTCGAGCCCCGCCCCTCTCACGTACCTGGGCCGGATCCGCCCATCCCGTGTGGCCACGCCCCTCCAGGCAGGCCCCGCCCACGCATCCTCTGCTGCAGGTCAGGCCGGTTTGTGCCGCTGCACCCTCTGAGCTGGTTTAACGTAAAGCTGCTTTTCCTGCGGGAGACTTGGGGTGTTGACGCTCAGGGTCGCCTTTTTCTCGGCCTGAGTTCCCCGGTGCGGACCACTCTTTGTGTGTCTTTGTGCGGCTGAGCAAGGTGTGTGTGTGTGTGGAAGGCAGTCGACCCCACGTGTCTTTTTCTTCCAAGTCGGACGGTAATGGCGCACGCCTTTAATCCCAGCACCTGGGAGGCAGAGGCAGGTGGACTTCGAGGCCAGCCTGGTCTACAGACTGAGTTCCAGGACAGCCGAGACTGATTCACAGAGAAACCCTGTCCCTGTCTCAAAAAAAAAAAAAATGAAAACAAAAGATTATTTTAACTATATAGATGGAGGGTATGCACGGAAACGCAGTTTCCTATGGGGCCAGAGACATAGGATCCCCTAGAGCTGGAAGTTACAGATGGATTTGAGACAAACCAGTATGGGTGCTTGGAACCAAGCTCAGGTCCTCTTCAAGTTGCCAAGCCATCTCTCTAGCCCCTCAGATTATTATTATTATTGGTTTTTAATGTTTTGGATTTATCTGTTACCATCTGTGTATGAGTGTTTTGCCTACATGCATGTGTGTGCACCATATGCTCCGAGTGCCTGGAACTAGGGTTAAGGGTATTTGTGAGCCATTACATGAACCGGTCTTTAGCAAGAGCAATAAAGCAACAAGGGCTCTTAATCACTGAGCTTTCACTCTCCAGCCCACCCACCCCCCTTTTTGTTTTTGTTTTGGAACTTGTTTTTTTTGTTTTGTTTTGTTTTGAGACAGGATCTCACTATGTAGCTGGTCATGATCAGGCTGTCCTGCAATTCATAAATATACACATGCCTTAGCCTCCTGAGTGCTGGCTGGGATTAAAGGTGTGCACCTCCATGTCTGCCTTATTTTATTCACTTTTATATGTTAGGTACGAGTGTAATATATATATATATATATATATATATATATATATATATATATATATATATTTGGTATGCTTGCTGCCCTTGTGGTCCAAAAGATGAGATCTGTTCCCTGGAACTCATATACATATATTCATTGGTGTAAAAGGGTCAGATTCCCCTGAAACTGGAGTTACAGATAGTTGTGAGGTGACATGTAGTTGCTGGGAATTGAACCTGGGTCTTCTGGAAGAGCAGCTACTGCTCTTAACTGCTGAGCCATTTCTCCAAACCCCCTTTTTTTTTTTTTAAAGATTATTTATTATATACACAGTGTTCTGTCTGCCCGAATCCCTGCACACCAGAAGAGGTCACCAGGTCTCATTACTGATGGTTGTGAGCCACCAATGGTTACTGGGTATTGAACTCAGGGCCTCTGGAAGAGCAACCAATGCTCTTAACCTCTGAGCCATCTCTCCAGCCCTCCCTGGAACTCTTACTACTGCTGTTCACAAATAACTTTGTAGTGATATTTTGTTTGTAATCTAACAAATAAAGCTTGCCTGAAGATCAGAGTGCTAAGTCACTAGTTAGCCACACACACACTAAGCCACTATTTAGCTACAGAGGACAGGCAGTGGTGGCCACACCTTTTAACTCCAGCACTCAGGAGACAGAGTGGATCTCTGTGAGTTCAAGGCTACCCTGAGGTACATGAAAGAGAATCATTCTAAAAGCAACAGAGCTCACACCATTGATCCCGGCGCTTGGGATGACATCCCTTTAATCCCAACACTAGAGAGGAATATCAGGCAGGAGCTCAGTGCAGTCTGAGGTTTGGTGGAGAGCACTGCAATCTGTAGTAACTCTGAGGACAGGATCTCCCCCCTTTGGTCTTAGCCTTGGTAGAGGTAAGAACTCTAGTGGCTTGACTGCTTTGCTTTTCTGATCTTCAGCTTGAACCCAATACCTGTCTCTGGTTTTTTATTATTTATGCTACATATCTTGATGACTTAAAACAATTTGATACATACATACATACATACATACATATATACATACATACATATATTGAAGTTGTGAAAGGCAGAAGTCTAAAATGACTATTTCTGAGCTAAAATCAAGTTGAGGACAGGAGTCCTTCTCCAGGCCTCTGGTGCAAAGCTGTTTTCTATCCCTTTAACAGCTTCTAGAAGCTACCCTAATTTCTCCACCTGCCGCCCACATCCCTTTGGCTTCTGCTAACATCTCTTCATCTCCTTGCGTGACTCTCATCCTCCATCCTCCTTCCCACAAGGATCTTATGAGTATGAGAGACCCACACCCACAAAGATGTACAAGGACGTTCTCTTCACCTCAAGATCCTTAACAGAGAACAGGGTGTGGTGGCACACCCTTTAAACTCAGCACTCGGGATGCAGATGCCATCAAACTTCTGAGAGTTCTAGGATAGCCTTGTCTATTTATCAAGTCCCAGGCCAACCAAGGCCTTATAGTAAAACCCTGTCACCACCCCCGCCCCCAAAAAAAATCCTTAACTGAATCTCATCTTCAAAGTTTCTTTCGGCATATAAGGTCACATATTCACAGGTTCTTAGAATTAGAACTAGAATATATGGGCCTATGAATATATATGCATAATAATATATGTATAATGATATATGATGTCACATAGTATAAATGTGCATATAACATATTTATATGTATTTATGCACTTTTTACACACACACATATCATGTTGGTAGCCTCTATGAAAGCATCCACACATCCTATGAAAGTTACAATATGATACACGATATCCCATGGAAGCTTTACAATAAACAATAAGGAATGTAATCATATAACTTTGCCATCTCTACTGAAACACTCCAGAGTAAAATGAGTCCTATTGACTAATAATAGCATATGCCTGTAATCACAGTACTTGAGATGAAGAGGAGTTCAAGGCCAGTCCCAGCTATATAGCAAGTTCAAGACCATCCTGAGCAACAAGCAATCCTGTTTTGAAAAGAAAGAAAAAGCACCCACAGGGTGGGTGGGGTGATGCATGCTTGTAATCCCAGTGGTGGAGGGGTGGAAACCAGAAGATCCTGGGATGCAATAGCCAGCCCAGATAGCCTAATTGGCAAGTTGGTGCTGCAGAGGTGGCTCAGAGGTTAAGACCGCTGACTGCTGCTCTTCCAGAGACCCGAATTCAATTTCTAGCCACCACCTGGTGGCTCACATCCATCTATAATGAGATCTGATGCCCTATTCTGAAATGCGGGTGTATACATTTTAAAAATTTAATCAAAAATCAATCTGCATTGTGACAGCCAGCACTCAGGAGGCAAAGACAGGCAGATATCTGAGTTCAAGACCATCCTGGTCTACAGACCAGAGTTCCAGACCAGCCTGGTTTACACAGAGAAACCCTATCTCAAAAAATAAACAAATAAAAAATCTTAAAAAAAAAATAAAAAGAAGAAAACAAGGTGAACAGCTCCTAAGGAATGACACTAGAGATTGACCTTTTCCCTCTGCAAGAATTATGCATACACATGTACTCACATTTGCACACACACATCCAAATAATAAGTTACAGATGACAGATGAGGGGAGCATACATTATATACATATATGAAATTTATAAAAATCAATTATATATACAAATATATACATATATATTTGGTTTTTCGAGACAAGGTTTCTCTGTATTGCGTTAGAGACTGTCCTGGAACTAGCTCTGTAGACCAGGCTGGACTGGAACTCACAAATATCCACCTGCCTCTGCCTCCCGAGTACTGGGATTAAAGGCGTGTGTCACCGACGCCTGGCCAATTTTGTATTTGAAAACCTATTATGGAATTCCAGGCATAAACCAAAGACATGACAGCCAGTTTCTAAAGCCCTACACAGCTGCTTTCTTGCCTCCTCCTCGCCTTTGCTCACTCATCTCTGGACACTCTGGCCTCTTCATCGTCATAGGGTATGACCCAGCCCTACTCCTGCCCTTGCTCTTTCTCTGACTAGACAATTCCTTGTCTTTTGTCTGCATGATTCATTGTACTTCCTAGCCATCTTATCTAAATTCATAGCTATTTCTAGAAACACTTCCCAGGAGCAATGAATGGCTCAGTGATCAAGAGCACTTGCTTTTCCAAGACCAGACTTCACGAGCAGTGTAGTGGTGGTGCATTCTTTAATCCCAGCACTTGCGAGGCAGAGGCAGGCAGATCTCTGTGAG